CTACCTTACTGTATATCTAACCGTCTATCTATCTATCTATCTATCTATCTATCTATCTATCTATCTATCTATCTATCTATCTATCTATCTATCTATCTATCTATCTATCTATCTATCTATCTATCTATCTATCTATCTATCTATCTATCTATCTATCTATCTATCTATCTATCTATCTATCTATCTATCTATCTATCTATCTATCTATCTATCTATCTATCTATCTATCTATCTATCTATCTATCTATCTATCTATCTATCTATCTATCTATCTATCTATCTATCTATCTATCTATCTATCTATCTATCTATCTATCTATCTATCTATCTATCTATCTATCTATCTATCTATCTATCTATCTATCTATCTAACCGTCTATCTATCTATCTATCTATCTATCTATCTATCTATCTATCTATCTATCTATCTATCTATCTATCTATCTATCTATCTATCTATCTATCTATCTATCTATCTATCTATCTATCTATCTATCTATCTATCTATCTATCTATCTATCTATCTATCTATCTATCTATCTATCTATCTATCTATCTATCTATCTATCTATCTATCTATCTATCTATCTATCTATCTATCTATCTGTCTATCTATCTATCTATCTGTCTATCTATCTGTCTATCTATCTGTCTATCTATCTATCTATCTATCTATCTATCTATCTATCTATCTATCTATCTATCTATCTATCTATCTATCTATCTATCTATCTATCTATCTATCTATCTATCTATCTATCTATCTATCTATCTATCTATCTATCTATCTATCTATCTATCTATCTATCTATCTATCTATCTATCTATCTATCTATCTATCTATCTATCTATCTATCTATCTATCTATCTATCTATCTATCTATCTATCTATCTATCTATCTATCTGACAAATGTTTTTCTCCTTCCTTCGTTCAACGGCTGTAACTCTGGCTGTTCACCCACATTTAGACTAAACTTTTCAGCGAACCTCAGTGTTATGTGCAGATATGTTTTACATATTTTTAATGCAGACTATTGGTTCATTGCCTCTCAGGCAAATCCACTTCGACTTCGAAGGAAACCCCGAGTCCTAAGACATGCTTGTTGGAGAGGCAGTGGCTCTATTCTTGTTTCCTCCACCATGTGGCTCCGATACCAATACGGGCAATTACAAATATAAAATTTTATTTCCATAATAACATAAGATGACTACTTTAATACATAAGTGTATTTTTCATTCAGATATTCGTTATTGTTTAGCAACCATTACCGCCTTTTCATGCTGTTGTTAGTGTTAGTGTGTGTGGTGGGGGAGGGGGGTAGTGGTATCGCACAAGTTTTGCCAAATCAAGAAGATGAAATACTATTGCGTGCACATTTTATGAAAGTTTATTATCTGTACAAAGTTTGTGTTATTTAATTTTTTTTTTTTTAATGTCAGTAACTTTCAATTGTATTGTAGTTATCTGTTTACGCTTAACTCCCTTCTTCTCAATGAAGAATGAAAAATAGAGTATGTTCTCTTTTTCAAATTTTTAACTTGAAAATAAACGAACTTAAAGATATGTGACGATTGGTGTTATAATTTGTAGGACATATTTGTATTTTTGTAACAACATAGAAGACAAAATGTGAACAAATAATGTCCATTACTCGCAAGACTGCCCTTTAGATTCACAGTGTGAATTTGTATGTTTTCGTATTTTTATTGTTGATACCATCTTTACAATAAAATACTGAAAATCCAAGTCTGATATGTGTTCTCTTGTTTTGTTCGATCATGTTTGCTGGTTACATGTTGTCGTGTGTGTTCTCTAGTTTGCTCAACTTTGTGTTTAGATTAAATGCTGTGATCTGTGGAAATTGACATACCGCAGTGCTAGGACGCTTGCCTGCTGGCCAAGCTAATTAAGAGTTCGAATCCCACTCAAAGAGGGAATTTATTTCATTGATGGTACACCCCATCAATAAACATTGGTACCATAAGATTTTATTAGAAGTATGCATTATCGAGAGCAATACTCATTAACTCTTTATGTCTTAGAAAGTCATTCAGCCCTTATTTCCTAATCCGGTCAAAATATTTACTGGCAGACAAGCAAGCGTGATAGTCGCTGTGTCAGTTCTGTTACCCGGTGCTTGCACTAGAAATCATTAATTTAATTATTATGTTCTCATTTATTTGAATTTTTATTTTATTTTATTATATATGTGTGTGTATGTACGCGCACGCGTGTGCGCGTCTTGGGGGTGGGTGTGGGGTGCGTAAACTCCCGTCAGGTATTATTTCATCCCAGCTTAAAATGTAAACCAAGAATTGTCACTGGAGTTCAAGGTAACCAGCTTTTAGGGAACCTAGTGCTTTCTAGTCGTTTGTTCGTTGATCTACACAGTTGGGAGTTAACAATTAGCGTCTAAAACACCCAAAGTAGCGGATATGTAACATTTATTGTTTACACAAGAAAAAAAAAAGACCTTTCTCAGGCACTGGGGCTTCTGGTATGTGGTGTTGAACCCACATTTTAAAGAAACTAACTTGCACTCGATGAGCGATGTGGTAAACACATTAACGTTGGTGCCTTTACTTTCCATGGTCTATCCTCCTACCCAGTTTAGCCTAGATCTACATTGAACCCTAGGTCGTTCATGAAATAATATCGACTCGATGCAGATTCTGAGGACTACTCCCAAAGAAGCTATATTTGGGCGCAATACCTTCGCCAAAAAAAAAAAAAACCTGCTCAGGATCAGAAGAAAAGAGCATCACAGACATCTGATGAGACTCAAGACAGCATAGCTGTTACACAGCAGGCGCAGTCCTTATCAGGACTCCCATGCAAGCCCCTCCTTCAGCAGATCGGAAACCTCAGCGGCGTCACCCTGACAGCATGAAACGTAAAGAACACATGCCAGAAAGAAAGAAATACCCCAAAGACCAACGACCATAAATATAATTGAAGCTTACAAAGAATCGGGTTAAACGTTGCCTTAAGTTTTTTATTTTTGTTTCTCTCGATTAGACTGCAAGACCGGCAGTTAAGCGTCTAGCCACTGCCCTACAATCGCTGATTGTTTTCTAGGTGGGTAGGTCAGTAATACCCCACCAGGACATCACACGCGCGATAAGCACCCGATGACACAAAGTGCCACCATGCGGATGAGGATCACCCGTTGAGAGGTCCCAGAAACCCCTTTTAGACGTTAGGCTATATTTATCGCCCGGCTATATTCAAAAAATTTTAATTTTAATGTAAAATCAGTACTTTTGTATGGGGCGGAAACATAGAGAACAACTAAGGCAAACTCTAATAAATTACAGACATTCATTAACTGGTGCCTGTGCAGAAAAGAGGGAATTAAATGACATGATAGAATAACCAATGTAGAACTTTGGGAGAAAAGTAAACAGGCTCCAGTGGACCAAGAGGCGTTGGATAGGACACACACTGAGAAAACAGGAGAACAGCATAACTAGAATGTCTTTGCATTGTAACCCATAGGAAAGTTGGGGAGGACATGGGGAGAACTTCGTGTAATGACGAAGGATAGAGCGACTTGGCGTGAGTTGGTTGAGAGCCTATTTTCCTTTGGGGGATAGAAAGGCTAAAGAAGAAGATATTCAGGGCCCCCGGCAAAAGCCAAGGTGGGAATTTAAAAAACAAAAAAAATGCATCCCAGATTATAAGGCTTTATCTCTTTTAGTTGTGCTCCAAGTTCCAGAGCTAAAATAAACGATTGGTATTATAGACGTGTAATATATTTTGATCTTGGTGTTGCGAGGCATATCTTACTTTTTACCAGATTGTATTCTAGATTGTCTTTCTTCTCTCAGCAGTTGGAGCACCTAAGTACTTATATTGTTTCGGTTCGTTTGATTTTTCCCCACAAAAACATTTCGCACTTTAAAAACTCTCGAGAACTGGCAACAAAAATTGTAAGGGGATTCTTATGAAGACAATACATCAATACAACTTGGTAAATGTAAGAATATTGAGGCAGCCTAAACAAACTAAACCCCTGTACCCCTGGTACTATTGCAAAGGTTATATATTAACTGCACCCAAATTTCACAGTTGTTGGTTAAGATGTAACATAGATCTGGCTAAAATAAAATCCTAACCTGAACAGTCTGTGGCGACAGCACCAGCCATGCGATCCTAAATACACAGTCTCAAAGACTCCCCTTCCTACAGTGCAAAAGCGGTAAATACAGGTATTAACGACAGCTTATCGATCTGGCACACGATGATATTGATACTAGTACATGACTGAGGCCGTACGTGTAATATTCCCAGATAATGAATGCACGTATCCACTGCAGCCAACTTGTGTTATAGAGACTACACACACACACACACACACACACACACACACACACACACACACACACACACACACATACACACACTCACATAGACGGATACGCACTCACACGTCCGCGCATGCACGCGCACACATTGCATTTAAGTGCAAGAACATTTATTCGATTGAATATTGAGTGTAAAGGTAAAACTGACATCGAAGCACTCTTGAGATTCACATAAGCGCTCCGTCCTCATCTTTAGCAGTCTTCTTTTTTTTTTTTTCGCGCTCACTGTCTGTGAATTCAAGCGGAATTTTCTGCTTGTTCGTCCAATTCTGGAGGTTGTTTTTGTCCCAAAACCTGAGTTTTGAGGTTATATCCGTTCTACATATCTAAATAATTTGTATGTAGACTTTTGGGTTCCTTATCAAATAAGGAAAAATGCGAAACTGCATAACTGCGAAAGATACCAAAGAAGGGCTGCCCCCAGATCTACTTCCTCATATTATGGGAAATTAATTCGCTGAAAGAACAGTTGGTCGATACGCATCTGTTTACTGTTTACCTCTCCTTCAGAACCCACGGAGATGTGTTCTTGTTAGCAGGAATGTGTAAACATGTTCTAGTGCAGCAGTGAGTCGTTCATTTAGAGTGTCTATGGTGTACAAAATCAGCAATATCAAACAAATAAAGCAATATGCCTAACGGCAAGAACAAGTTGATGTTGACGATTCCCGTGTCGGAACCAAACACAGACGGAAGCGAGTGAGTTCATTTGTATTGTATGTTGGTTACAGTTTTCTACCTGTTGAGAATCAGTCAGTATCAGCTGTTTGCAATATGATGTCATTTTTTGTATGGGCTACACTAGACTGCAGTTCTTAGATTCTGTGCCCATTAGTTGCTGCTACTATTTTATTTACAATCATGATAATTAAAAATAGGAAACGACGATTAACTAGTACTAGTACAGTATTATTAACTTTTCATACCCGTATGAATGAGTATGATGATGCTTGCAGTCAACTCAGAGAGTATCACTTAGTATAGTAGTAGTAGTATTTTATTTTACTCTGATGTCTGATCTATTGTATTATTAAAGTTATTATAGAATTAATACATAAGTCATTAACGACTTGGGGTGAGTTGGTTGAGGGCCTATGATCCATTGAGGGCTAGAAAGGTAGAAGAAGACATAAGAATAAGACTTATGATAAGTCATTACATTAGTATTAGGGGTGGGTGGGATGTTGTTATAATTGATTGATAAAGAGCATAAGTAATGGAGGACATTAACTGAATGTTAATACTAATTAATACTAAATGCAGTCACTCAGGATATCAAGAAACAAAAGAGGAAAATAGAAATTTAGAAAGAAAAAAAGAGTTGGTGTATAGTATACATACTGTATGAGATTCAATTAAAATATAGGGAAAGGAGGCTAGTATAGTAATACTGTGCCATTAATTCATTTAGCATATTCTGCTTGTAACTTTGTTACAGTTAGTCACGCTTACACAGCCTGTCCATAACATTTGATCTTGTTTATTTGCTTGTAAATTGTCTTGACGTTGCTATTAGACATTGATCAAGTTGTGTGGTGTTTATGATGAATTTCTACACTATACAATTTTATTTCCCAATCGCTTAACAGTTATGAAAACATTCTACTGGATAGTGTAGAACAGAATAAACAGCAGTGAATATTAAAATCTGGACGAACAAAATAGAAAAAGGTTGGAGTTATCCAGTTCGTCTTATTTTTCTTCTTTTTCTTCTTCTTCATCATTCTGTTTTGGAGCATATGCTCTTAACCAGCTGACGACAAGCAGTCCTAATATTTCCTTTTTAGTTTCCAGTGCAATAACATTCTAGACCAATAGTTTCCAGTGCAGTCCCATTCTAGATCAAGTTTCCAGTGCAGTCACATTCTAGATCAATAGTTTCCAACCCTTTTCAGTTTCAAATAACATAAAAGAAAAAAAAAAACAGTGGGCAGCAGCTGTTTAGTGTCAAAGTATCAATGTAATGGTTGACACTGTTTCATCTTGATGATGTCTGCTAATGTTGGTCTTATGTTGGACAAGTCACAACAGAGATGACTCTCCACATCAGGCTGGCAGTGGTGTTTTGTTTAAAGTACAAACACACTTAATTTCAAAATTGCTGGTACCCCCCCCCCCCACCCCCACATTCTTACTTATAACTTCCTTATCTTACCCCTAGGAGTGTTCCCCCACCCCCACGTTATTCCTTGAAACTTCCTTATCCTACCCCTAGGGGTGTCTCCCCCCCCCCCCTCCCGCCACAATCTCCAGAGTGAAAAACCCCTGTTCTATATATTAATCACATTTTTGGGGTGTGTGTCACTAGTCATTTCTTTGATTGCCAGATTCACTGTAATTTATTTAGTTAACTAATTTACCTCTCATCCATTTAAAATGCTGAAATGTCTGCTAAGAACTGAATATTTTTCATTTCTACAATAGCCGTCAGAATGGAGCTCAGGCAAACCTGGAGGCATTGCAACAGAAGCTGCAGGAATTGGATATTGACGATCGACAGAGAGAGAGGCTTGAGGAGTTTCTGACACAAAAGCAAAAAATTGGGGAATTAGTGGAGGAGGATTTTGAGAAGCTTGGAGAACTAGGCGCTGGCAATGGAGGTGTTGTTACCAAGGTGTTACATCACCCATCAGGGCTTATCATGGCACGAAAGGTGAAGCTTGTGATTGTAAATTATGTTGTGAATACATCAATTTTGTGAATGTAGAGACCATGGTAGTGACAGTAAAGTGTATGACAGTAAAGAAAATAAGTTATGATTGTTTAGGTTACAAAAGGGGTTTGTAGCGGAGGGTTTGTGAAAGAAAGGACATAAAATGCGTTTTATAATTATTGTATGCAAAAGTAAAGAACATGGGTCATGGAGTAGCATTGGTGGTGACAGTAAAGAGTTTGATCAATAATTCAGAGTCATATAATTTATAAGTTTGAGACTGAAAAAGTAGAGTCACAAGTAGAATGTAAAATGTGGGGGGGGTGGGGGGGTGAGTTTACATTTATAGAAAAGTTTTTGAAAGCAAAGAATATTGTATAACAGCAAGTTTGTATATAAAAAAGAGCTTATTTGAGCTCAATTTTGAGGAAACGACCTGACTTATGTTAAGTTTATAACAATGAATAAAATAGTATAAAAAGTACAGCTGGGGTTTTTAATTTTAGGTTAATGGGCTCTAAGAATGTTGTAAAGCAAACATTGTTTTCTCATCAGGTTAACAAAAGTAAAGGGTCTGTTTTACTCCCGTGGTCAACAGGGCATATGATTCTAGATTCATATTTTTATACACCAGTAGTCAAGTCACTCAGTGGGTGATGGGGTCAACATCACGCCGACCTCCTTTACTTCCCATCACATTACCTGGTGCATATCTTAGGCTGGGTCAAGCTGGGTGCCAAGGTCAGTTTTGCAAACATTTTACTTGATGCAGATTTAATTGTAAAAGCATCTGTTTGCTGCATTTTCACGACTTCCTCTTATTGAGAACATTCATAATTATCTCTTCGATAGCCAAAGTTTCAGAATGTTCTTTGTGTCTAATTAATGATTTAAGAATCATCATCAAAGCATATTAGGCATACACATAAAGGCTTCATCTCTCACAGCAAATGTTTATTTGAAGGTAATCAGCTTTTCATATTACTTTGAATTTGGAGGAAATATTTTGTATAAAACAAGAAACATATTTACAAATTCAGCAACACAGATAATCTTCTTTTTAAAGTCCATGCCGTGTGGTGTTGGTAGACATGTCTATTCACAACCTTCTGTCTTGTGCACTTTCAGTCAACTCTGATTATGTCAAAGTATTCAGGGTTGTTTTTTCTCTTAGCCTCCCTCTGCATCTTTTCCCCTTCAGCTTTCCTACTGTCATGATGTGCTCAATTTTTCTGCGTCTCATGACATGACCAAAGAATGTAGATATTCTCTTTCTGATTTGGACAATCAGTTCTCTTCGTAAGTCAGTTTCTTTCAAAACATCTTCACAACTCTTTTCATCTGTCCAGGGTATTCTCATCATTCGTCGATAAAACCACATCTCCGCAGCTTCCAAATAACTTTTCACTAATATACCAACTGTCCTTGCATTATATTACTACACAGATAATAAACAGTATGTAATATCTTTATTGTTGCAGCTCATTCATCTTGAAATAAAACCACTGGTTCGGAACCAGATCATCCGGGAGCTGAAAGTGTTACATGAATGCAACTCCCCCTACATAGTCGGGTACTATGGTGCTTTCTACAGTGATGGGGAAATCAGTATCTGCATGGAATATATGGTAGGTACTTTAATATTAATCTGACTCATTTTTCCATTATTGAAATTATGCAGTCTTTTTAAAGCATGAAATATATTTTGTAACTGACATTTCTTATCTAAGTAGGTTTCACACCACATTTGTTCTATTTCACAGGATGGAGGCTCATTAGATTTAATTCTGAGGAAAGCTGGCAGAATTCCTGAACCAATTCTTGGAATTATTAATATTGCTGTGAGTAAAACATTCCATTTGTACTGTTTCTTTTACCGCTCATCACTTCACTTTTTAATCTGTTTATTCAACAGTTTGTAATTGGAAACTTGTTGCGCCTGAGTGTGTGTGAAAAAACATTGATTATACAAATTTGGATTGAAAATATAAGTTCAATTCAGTGCAGATGATTATCATTCCACTATGAACACAGGTGTTCTGATCTCACTGCTCAGTTCATACATTCATCAGGTTACAACAACTAACTTATATCAGTTTGATATTGGTAATCATCATTCTAGTATACTTGGTGTGCCTCTCTCTGGCGCTGAAACCGCAAACAAAAGGTTAGATAAGTCTCTGTGACTTGCATCCGAAGTCTAGATGCATCAGTTGGAGCAGTGCGGCATAAAAACCACACGAGAGCTCATAGTTGCTACATAAGCTGGTAAAGAACAGGAATCTTCAGTGTAAACATGTTTAAAAGATCAGAGCACATATGGGTATGCCTGATTAAATGTGAATCCTCTTGTCACTAAGACATTCAATCCAAACTACTATATTCAAACTGTTGATTTATTCAGTTGAAATTGTTGCTTTTAGTGTCAGAATTGAATACTAATAAGCTAGAAAAAGAGCTAGTTAGTTGGATTATCATCATTGCCCTCTGGACATGTCTATAGATGCTCAGAACCTTCCTTCTGTATGAACCGCAGCGTCTAGTGGCGAATAGTACCAGTTCTATGTTGATTAACGAGTCCTCTGATGTGCCTAGAATGGGTCTCATTTTTTGCTATGTCGATCATCACTTCCAAGTGTATCATTCTGGCGAGAGATACTCCCATAAGTGCTCCCTTCCCATCTTCAGCTGCAGACAAAGAGTTCCAATTCCAATGGCACCAGTAACCACCTGATTGTACATCCATCTCATCCTTTCTATGAGTGTTGAGCGTCAGCCACACCCCCTGGTAACTTCTCACAGTGTCATTCTCCACAGACCATACTGCCCCCAAAGTCCTCCACCCTTCCCAATTCTCGGAGGTTGTTTTCTTCACCCTTGTTTGATATGTGCTGCTCTTCAGGAAATAAACCAGTTTCTTCAACCATACAACCCAGTAATGCACTCAGTGACAGAACAGCTTATCAGATATGCACAGCACCATTTAATAGCAGCCAGGTTATACATTAATATGTGTAAAATAAAGAGCAAAGCATATAAAATGCTTGCTGACTATTTTGTTGTGGGGGGGCCTTAAATGATACTAAAACACTGTTATGTGCATTGGCAAATTGTTTAGTAGTAAATTTTGAATACTAAGGTTGAATTTCAGTATGTTTATGATCTTAACTATTTTTTCAGGTTCTTAAAGGCCTGTGTTACCTCAGAGAAAAACATCAGATAATTCACAGAGGTAATATTTCAGACTCCCAGTCTACATTTTACATCTCCCAGTCTGTATTTTACATGGCCCAGTCTATATTTTACACCTCCCAGTCTGTATTTTACATGGCCCAGTCTATATTTTACACCTCCCAGTCTGTATTTTACATGGCCCAGTCTACATTTTTCACCTCCCAGTCTATATTTTACATGGCCCAGTCTACATTTTACACCTCCCAGTCTGTATTTTACACCTCCCAGTCTATATTTTACACCTCCCAGTCTATATTTTACATGGCCCAGTTTATATTTTACACCTCCCAGTCTATATTTTACATGGCCCAGTCTATATTTTACATGGCCCAGTCTATATTTTACACCTCCCAGTCTATATTTTACATGGCCCAGTCTATATTTTACACCTCCCAGTCTGTATTTTACATGGCCCAGTCTGTATTTTACATGGCCCATTTTATATTTTACACCTCCCAGTCTGTATTTTACATGGCCCAGTCTACATTTTACACCTCCCAGTCTGTATTTTACATGGCCCAGTCTATATTTTACATGGCCCAGTCTATATTTTACACCTCCCAGTCTGTATTTTACATGGCCCAGTCTATATTTTACATGGCCCAGTCTGTATTTCACACCTCCCAGTCTGTATTTTACATGGCCCAGTCTATATTTTACATGGCCCAGTCTATATTTTACACCTCCCAGTCTGTATTTTACACCTCCCAGTCTGTATTTTACATGGCCCAGTCTATATTTTACATGGCCCAGTCTATATTTCACATGGCCCAGTCTATATTTTACACCTCCCAGTCTGTATTTTACATGGCCCAGTCTATATTTTACATGGCCCAGTCTATATTTTACATGGCCCAGTCTATATTTTACATGGCCCAGTCTATATTTTTGGTCCTCTGATCTAACTTTTTCAGGACAGTCAGTTTTATATGTATCAATATTTTAGGCCATCTAACCTTGAAATGTTCGCCATATCAGAGAATAATATTCAGTAGTATCATCATTTGCCATGCTGATAAGCTCAAGCTGTCAGGTTTTGTCATCTCACATGGTCACGAGTGTCAGATTTTGCCATTTCACATGGTCATCAGTGTCAGATTTTGCCATCTCACATGGTTATCAGTGTCAGATTTTGCCATCTCATATGGTCACCGATGTCAGGCTTTGCCATCTCACATGGTCACCAGTGTCAGATTTTGCCATCTCGCATGGTCACCAGAATCACAGATCAGATCAGTGTTCATGTCTTGCCCCATCCATAGCGCTAACCCATCCAGGTATTTATCTGTTCCCCTTCCCCTTGCTCTTTTTCCATCAGTCTTGACAGTTGTTACCAAGTTCTTGAGTCCATTCCTTCACATAACATGTCAGTATACTCCGCGAAGATGGACACAGGACATTAAAGATGCATTGGCTTTGAGAGCAACGTTCTGTAAAGGATATGCTGATTGATGATGTTGTTCTCAAACTGGCACAGGCACAGAAAGAAGAGGTCCTGTTTAACAATTATGAGGTCTTTTTATAGTATGGATTTTTTGGGAGCGAGTGATCAGTGCAGATGAGGTCAGTATGGTCTGTGGAGAATGACACTGTGAGAAGTTACCAGGGGGTGTGGCTGACGCTCAACACTCATAGAAAGGATGAGATGGATGTACAATCAGGTGGTTACTGGTGCCATTGGAATTGGAACTCTTTGTCTGCAGCTGAAGATGGGAAGGGAGCACTTATGGGAGTATCCTGAGTACTGTGAAGTCGATTCTTAATTCAACATAGTATGGATTTTTGCACAGGCTTATTGGTTTTCTAACTTTGTTTGAGATTCTTACTTGCTACACTTTCACAAGATTTATGTTGAAGTTATTTTTAACTGAATGCTTCAGTCAATCAGTTGGGTGCCGTCTGAACAGTGAAAGTTGCTTGCAGTGGATCTCCAACATTTTGTGTCTCTTGTCTTGGTTGTACACTCTCAGCTTTCTTTTTGTCCATCGCTTGATGTTGCCCTGCCACTTGTATCATTGCCTCGTGATATTTTCTGACCTTTTCCATCAGTATGGTTTTTAAAAGCTTAATATGTCTTTTAATGTGGCCAAAATATTTCATTTGCCTCTTTTTTCAAATTTCAGTAATACTTTTTTTAATTCGCAGTTTTTCCAAGACATTCATTTAATGTTTACCTAATCTTTTATTATTCAATGTATATTTCAACTGTAGATGTTCATTTTGAGACATGACTCTCTCTCTCTCCCTTTCTCTTTCTCTCTCTCTCTATCTCTCTCTCTCTCTTTCTCTCTCTCTAATGTAAGGCGGGCCTGTGTGCCCAATTTGTGACCCTTTGAAATTAAAGTTCATTTGTTCTCTAAGTATTACTTTCTGTATCTCTCGTATTGATTAAATCACTAATTCTGTTTTCCCCCACATTTTGACAGATGTGAAGCCATCAAATATCCTTGTCAATTCTCGAGGGGAGATAAAATTGTGTGACTTTGGTGTGAGTGGTCAGCTCATAGATTCAATGGCCAATTCCTTTGTTGGAACAAGATCATATATGGCAGTAAGTTCACCATCTCATCATGTTTCATTTTCATACTGAGATATTGCTTTAGCTTTTCAGACTTTGCAATTGGCCTACGTGCAACACAGATGCCTAAGGAAATTTATGAACGTTGAATATGATGAATTTAAGAAAGACAAAGAACTCAACAGTTTTAAAACAAAAGACAAAAAAGATGGTGATAATATGGGCACTTCTTTAGTAGAAACAAACAGAAAGTCACAAAACAGATGCTTAAATAGGAAAACAAAGGGATTGAAGAAATGCTAAGATAAACATAAATCAGAGAGGACCATGTAGCATTGAGAGAGCCAATCATGAAGGGAATAGGGATAATGGAGAAGCGATTGCAGATAGGTCAGGAGCTGAGCGACTGTGAAGAAGCATGTTAAATATAGGCAGTAGCAGCAGTTTTCCGGAAATCCCATACTCTAGCTGTGGAAGACTTCTTACTGTGAGCTACTCTTTCACACTTGTCATTGCCAAGGACTATGGTTTCTATAGCACATTATAACAATGCTGTTTAAAAAGACTGAAAAATACCAATCCACGGAAGTGGTGTTATTATATGTTTAAAAATAACAAATGGAAAGCCTTAATCAATATTAATAAAATGATACTGTAGATGTATATTTCCATGTTGCTGGTTAGTTTGCTTACCTTGAGCTTATGTCTTTATTTAAATCCCCTTCTAAATAGGGGTATTTTTTAATGTTGCGTGTTGAATTAAGAATCTACACCATGGCACTTGGGACACTCCCATAAGCAATTCATACTCATCTTCAGCAACAAGCAAACAGTTCCAGTTCCGATGTTACCAGTAACTATCTGATGGATGTTTTCAGTATTGACCTAGGCTCCATGTCTACATAGTCTTAAAAGAATCCAGAACAGTTCTCAAATATTGTCTGCATAATTATTTGATTACCGGTATCATCAGTAAAAAATATGGGACTTACATACACCACATGCCATATACACCTCAAAGAATGGAGTGTCTATAGGTAAAGGGCCTGTTATATGGGTCTTTCTAGCCTGCCTGCACTGTTCAGATGCCCATTTTCTAGATGCCTTGCTTGACTCTGCCCCACTTCAGATGTAAGTTTGCCATATTATCAGTTCTCGTGCAGAAGTCTCCCAACTGTTGATGTTTATATTGAAGGTTTTAAGGGATGCCCTAAAAAGTCCTTGGCCATGGTGTTCTTTTTATAAAAACTGTGCCTGGCACCGTCCACATAATTTATAACTGCTGGTTATCCATGGCTCACTTGCATACATCGCATTTGGTTGGCTGTAGTATTAATGAACTCTCTCTACCCCAGTTTACAGGGGGAAATTGCATAGAATATTTTTCATTCTGTGAAATACTGCTTTTTGTTTGGGGTTTTCTGTATTTGACTTATTTTTTTTTTTTAAACATCTTCAATCTGCTACCATCATGACTGATATATTGTAAGTTTGAGATTAAACAAGTCTCCTCACTTCTGACGTGCATATGCCCCATGATAGAGCCTTTGTTGCATTCCTGTCCAGTGGTTGAGCGAATTGCTTTAGACAGTCTTAAACATGCTAAAAAAATTGCAAATATTTGAGTGTTATATTAGCTTTTTTGTGTGTGTGTTTGTGTTACAGCCTGAGCGATTGCAAGGCACACATTATTCTGTACAGTCAGACATTTGGAGTCTGGGCCTATCGCTGGTGGAGATGTCAATCGGAAGATACCCTGTTCCACCCCCGGAAGCAAGGGATTTGGCCACTATTTTTGGAGAGAATGCAAGTGACGAGCACCTGGAAACTGCTGTGACAGGCAAAGCACAGAAAGGTTAGTTAATGTAGATTGTGCTAAATGTTTTATAGCTATTTCTTTTAATGATCAAAACAATATCGGTACTATTTAGTACTCAGAATGGAAACTATTCTAATATAATTTTCAAAGGTGTAACTTGTAATGGGCAAACTAAGACAAAGGGTAGTTAAACATTCAGAGTTTTTTAATTTTTTTAATTGAACATATTAAGTACGAGGGGACTTTAAATGGAAATATTAAAAGTGTGCTAGAGATAACAGAAACCATACTGTTGTCATGTGACCCATCAGTATTGTTATTGAGGTTGTCAGAAGTGCTAAGCATGTGCCGTCATGGTGCAGATGAACATAATGACATCATATGACAGTTTAAAATGGTCTCCCCACGTTTGACACGCTCCAAAGGAGAGCAATATTTTATCATCTGTTTTTCAATCAATAAAGGAGTTAAACCTATTAAAATGCATCGGTTAATGAAGGTTCAGTTACTCAATGAGTTGTGCTGTGGAAAATACCCAGTTTTCTAGACCTTATGCTCTAATAGTTCTTGGAACAGTGAGCAGGCAGTTGCAAAGCTGTGATAAAATATCTTATATTACGGTGGAAAATAACAGTTACAGGAAGATGCAACCAGTGTTTAATGATTTGTTTCTGCTGTACAGTTTCTGTGATGTTTAATTGCCAGATAATGTTTTGCGGGCCGGATTGAACAGTCAGAACCAGGACTAGCGTAAGCGTATGCAGTACAAGGGGTTCAATCACATTTGAAACATTTGATTTCAGTTGTTTTGGGAAGCTTGTTTTGTTTCAGTAGTTTCTGGAGCCTTGCATTATTTTAGTTTTTTTTAAACTTGTGTCATTTAAGTTGCTACTGATAGCCATGTTGTTCCATCAAATTCTCTGATGGCGAACGACTGACAGACTTTATTTTCAGAAAGTCACAAGTTAAAGTTTGTTAAAACATTGTAGGCAGCCGTTTAAATATTGCGTGAAACTGTGAGATGTCTGAGGTATACTCCAGGTGTTTTTGTTCTGGTGTTGCCTTTGATTAGTGGGGCCTTTCATGTGTAGCAGTCAATATGCATGACTGTTTACACAGTGCTTGACTTGTTTGCTCATGCCCACTGTGACATTAAAACATTGCTTCCTACATAAGGCATTGTTATGGTATTCCGTAGTGTTTTCCAGGTCTTGAAATATAATGTAAACAGTGTACACATGTGACGCAAAATGTGTTACAAATATGTGCACATAATAAGAACAGTGTAAGATTGCCAAGAGGAGATAACTCAGCAACATTGGATCAATAACAACAACAATGGAAGATTGAAATGCTATGCCTACAAATTATTTAACATTCAGAGTTACTTTATACAAGATGAAGATCAGAAAGTTACAATTTGTAACAGTCTGCAAGAATGATCTGCAGCGTTGGTTGATCAATAGTTTTCCTTAAAATTGTAGTTATTCAGTCGAGCATAGTCATGTTTGCATAAGTATTATATGTTATAGTTCTTCACTATTATCTCAGTGGAGCAGATTAGTGGTTATGGTATCTGCTTCTTGCTCAGACAGGCTTGGTTTGATTCGCTGAGTTGTCTGTTTGGGTTGTGCCATTTACACATGGCTGAGGGCTCATAGTGTATTTCTTCTTCCATTCTATTCTGTGCAGTCTTTTTGGTATCATGTATAATAACCAGTCCAGCCTCTCTCATCTGTGTTTGTCTTTTTTTTTTAAATATATCCTAATTTCCTCAGTCCATTTGTTTCCCAGCCTTACCGAGGATTTGAACCTGGGTCTCCAGCTTGATAGCCCAGCTTTCTAACCATTCGGCCAGCTGCTCCTCACTGCCCTGGTAACAATTCAAAATTGAAACAGCTACTGACAAGAAAATATATGACGTGTGTACATCTAGTATACACATGTTTGGATTCTCGCCAGTGCTGTAGGGTTTATATACTGTTCTGGGAATCTCCTTATGTGGTCTGTTGGAGGAGGCTGGAATACTGACTGAGATATCCATGTTACGTGGAGAAATGATCCCTTACGAACCACACTTATTCATTTACAAATTGAAGGTTCTGCCATTTTTGCTTCTTCTTCTAGGTTTGCCCTTAAAAGGGTGGTTGGCACACTGTGTTGTGGTTTACAGCCAAGCAGTAACACATAGAATTTCAGCAGTACCCTACTTTGTTGCTTTCTACAACATGCTTATGAGAGGGAATCTGGTAATCCTAGTTTCAGCTTCATAGCAAACGGGTCACCCCACAGATGCTCCGCTCCTGTGCCAACGAAAAAAATGCAGCTCACAGTGTCACGCCATGCACTCAACTCAGAAGCTGGGCGACGAAACTACATCCTTCCAGTCTACAAATGGAGCAAAACTGCAACGGCCACCGTCTGGCAAAAAACAAAACATTTGCCACAGCTTTAAAAAAAAAAAAGGTGGCCGTGCCTAGCGTCCATTTTGACCAGAAGAATTATATGAGGGTTAATAAACGGTCACCCCAGCAGTACCCTCATTATTAGCTGAGGAAGGGACTTAGGACATTACATCCACCAGCAGGCGTCGCCCTTACAACGACCTGCTTGCCATCGTTAATGGCTGTTCACCCAACAGCCATGCAGTTCTTTGGCACGAAGGAGACACCTTGAACTTGGGTTTCGTACTGCCGACTCCCTACTAAGATGTTATTTAATGTTCTGTTATCACAATTAATGTCACTGCACATTGGGCATACCCATGCGTGCTCAGTTCTCCGAAGCAGCAGCCACTCCAAAGTACTTCTACTAATTGTCCCCATGAGAAGCTGGTTATATTGTCTCCTTTCTCGGCAAAGACGTGCATCATCATGCTTAACTCCCATGTCACGCAATCGTTTTAGTGTCAGGGATTCCTTATTCTCCACTAGCCCAGTTCGTACAGCGTTGACTATATCTGCTCTGTCCATACTTTTTCCCGCAATCATTAGGGGGAAGTTAGTCTGTTCCCCCTACTCTTCATTTTAGGCCCCGAAGCCAACAAGGGGTGCCAGATTTCAAGTAGCCCATTTTAAAAACTCAAGAGGCACCCGCGAAACTCTGAAGAGGGTCATTCAGAATTGTGAAGATGTTACCACTGTCGGTCGTACGCAGTTATGGTATTTCTTTGAATGTAGAGTGAGACGCGGGATAGATGTTAGGCAGTTTGGTGTCGTGACTTAGAGGAGCATCAGTTTTATAAATGATTGACAATACAAGGCAGAAGACTGTAGACAGATATGATTATCTTTGACACATGGCAAAGACTCTGAAAAGAAAATTAAGCAAACTATCGTCCTGGAATCAACAGAGACATCAGAATGATGGGTGCGGAACGGTAAAAAATGTGTGTTCTTAAAACAGTAAAAGAACGTCTGTAAATTGTGGTGTCTGCACAAGTTTCCTGTTAGACTGCCTACGCAGAAGACTAGATGCCATAACACTGCTATGATAATTATTGTCATTGGGAATCTGAAAATATTTGGTTGCAAATAAACATGTGTTTGGAATATGGCAGTCTTGAAGGATTGGCATGATGGTTTTATTTAAGTTTATGAAACAATACTACATAGTTACAGAAATATTGAGAAGCTTTGGGTTGAGGATTATGACGTGCTTTTTTTTTAAACACAAAGTACAGGAGGAAGTGTTGACATTTGTATAACAGCATTTTGAATTTTAAAGATGTTTAACATTAACACAGAAAAGGGGGGGGGGGGGGTGTTGGTAGTTATCCACCATTTATAGACAGAAAGAAATCAAACTTAAATAAGAAATATAAAACATATGTGGCATTTCAGAATACCAATGTATATCTATACAGAAGTAGATTCTCACATACAAAAGACACCACATAGAACTGAATAAATGTGGTGGATACAAGAGAGGGCAGACTGTGACATTTAACATACAAGACAGTCAACAGTTTGAGGAAATGGAGTCATATTGTTTTGTTTATAATTGTATCTTACTTGTAGATCAATATGGCTGTCAGAAACATTCAGTGTATGTGCACACATGACAGTCTGATTGTTTTCTCTTACATTTTAGGCAACCGCAATAACTGTATGGCGCCAACAAAAGGGGTTGCTGAGGCGCCACGAACTATGGCCATATTTGAGCTTTTAGATTACATTGTGAATGAGGTATGTGCATTTAGGTGTTGTGTAAGATAATTTAACATCCTGACCATCATCATCAACTGCACCAGGGCACTCATACTTTTCCATATTTTGTGACTACTGGCAGTTTGTATCATTGTGTATATTGGCACCCTTCCATGCCTTGAAAAAAGGCTGTTGAATATTTTTTCTGGTTTTGTCTCTCTCTCTCTCTCTTTTTATCCCCCCCCCCCCTCTTTTTTTTTATTACTCTCTTTTTTTTTTCCATAGATCATTTCAGTTGTCATATTTTCCACATTGTCTCTTCTTAGATTATCATCATCACTTATATTATCATCATCATCATGTGCCCTGCCAATTGGCTTAGGCGCTCATGCATCTCCACAGATCACAATCCCTGGTTGCCTGGAACAGCTCTCTTGATGATATTCCTCCATGTCATTGTTTCAGCCCATCCTTCATTGTCTCTCATGGTCTGTCTCTACCCCCTTTTCTACTTATCTTTCCAGTTGTCACAATGTTCTCCAATGTCTCTCTTCTCATTATGTGGCCAGAAAACAGTGTTTTTCTCTTTCTCATTGTTGTATATATAGATCTACTTTCATTAGCTTCTTTTATTATGGACTAGAAATTATGACTCTCATTCTGATGTTTGAAATAAGTTATTTTTGGGTCTCACCGTCTTTCAAGATAAATAGATTACTCTTGGTATTGGTTTCTAGTTGCTTTTAATAGTTTTGTAAGAGTTATATAAGCTTGACATAATAACAGTTAAAATATATATATAAACACCCATTAAGACAGAATAGATGCCAGAATTAAAGAGTAGATTTATTTTATAGTGGTCTATATAAAACAGATATGTGGAATGCACCATACTATATAATCTAAATACCCCAAGATTTTATTACATTAACTTGCTTTACCTATCAGAGGCTTAGGATTCCATTGAGAGTTAGACATTTGTATCCAAATGTATTCAATTTGGGTATCGAAAAGAGTAGCCTAACGGCGCTTCCCCAGGCAAAATTTGGAGTTAAAAATCTACCCAAAGTATTCCAAGATCCTTGCCGGTGCAACGGAGTTCATGCACTGCGCTGAGATTCTTCAGACTCAGGCTTGAGTTAAAGGTAGAATGGAGCACTAATGGGTTACACCCGTGTGCCATGATCTTGATCCGTCGAATAAACATCCAAGCAGTGCAGTAGACAAATCCACCAGAGAGTTTGGTCACCGAAATATGAAAGGAAAGGATCTCAATTAATGTAATCTTTTTATACAGTTCTGCATTTTTTTTTTTTGTTCAGTCTAATAATTACTGAGCACATCACCATCCTAACTGTACCACTCATCGGTAATTGAAAGTTTGCACTAAGTAGGAACAGCATAGAAGATAAATAATGACATATAAATAATGACATACCCTAACCAAATAGCCTGGTGAGAACAAAGCAGGAGGAGGTAAGGCACACTGTAACCATTTTGTCAGATAAAACAAAGCAGAATTACATAAGACAGTCTAACCATGTGGCCAGATAAAACAATATAGAATGGAGTAAAACCTTCTATTTTGTTAGAAGAAACAAAGCAAATAGCAGTCAGTCTTCTAACTTTATGACCAGATAAAATAAAGCAGAAAGGAGTAAGACTCAAACCATATAGCAAGATAACAAGAGCAGAATGCAGTAAAACACAAACCATATAGCAAGATAACAAAAGCAGAATGCAGTAAGACACTACAAGAATAATGGCCAGATACAACTGCAGAATGGAGAAGAGATAACCATGTGGCCAGATTTAACGTAGCAGAATAGAATCGGTGCACAAGAGTACAGAAAATATCAATACTACTGTCGTAATATTTAAAGAGAGATCCTGGTTAGACTTTTTGATTATGCATGGCAAGGAAGATGATTAGCCTATAATTTTGAACACCACCCAAGGTTAGCCTCCGGAAGACAAACATTATAAGAAAACGGTGAAGCTGGAGCTACTGAGATGATTATTGATTCAGGGCGTAACATAATGATTACTTGCTTGATATAACAAAAAATGTCTAACATTTATACACGGAAATATTGTACACACACAGATCTGTTATGTATCCTGCAGTATACAGTTCTAGCTGTTTGAAGCATGTTGTTCAGGTACTTCTCTCTGGTCTGACTTGAAGAATTGGGGGTTGTTGATGACTTCATTCAGCTCCATTAGGCAAAACATTCATTCTGAATATGCTTGTGAGCTTTCACTTCCATTTGCTGTATGATGAACATTTATTTTGTTTCAAATTCTTAAATTATTTCTGGTAGATTAGTCTTCAGATGATTTCAGCCCTTTTGGAATAGTTTATTTCGAGACCCTCTTGGTTGGTTAGCCGTTGTACCCCACCAGGACATCATACAAGCGATAAACACCCGGTGACACAAAGTGTCACTATGCGGATGAGGATCACCAATAGGAGAGGTCCCAGAAACCCCTTTAAACCGCTAGGCCATGTTTATGGTCGGGTTATTTTCAGGGCCCCCGGCAAAAGCCAGGGTGGGCCTTCAAAATAACAAAATATTGCATCCCACGAGGGGATGACTTATGAGACACTCTTCTGAAAACAGTACTAAAATACTGTTTCCACAGACCATGTATTGCAGAGCTGTCTTCCCCTCCAAGGTCAGAAACAAACCATATTGTCTTGCCCATTGAGTTTTCTAGTCACAGTTTGTGCTTAATTGATAAAGACTGGTCAGCACAGTTGGTGGTCTTTATATACATCTTTTCCATTGCCTGTGTCGGCTCTGTGGCTAAGTCGATGCAAACGCTTCATAATGCCAGGATGCCGGGTTCGATCCCAGCTGCGGGCCATGCGCCTTGCGTTGGTTTCGACAGTGGTATCAAGAAAGCCGGCCGTCCAGAAAGCAATGGCAAACTACTGGACGTAAGTTTGCCTAGAAAAACCACACAACAGCCAGGAGCTGTTGAGGTTGGTTCAACAACGTCCTGTAAAGGATACGCAACTAACCTAACCATTGCCTATGTTGAGCTTTCAAGACATATTTTGTGTCGTGTTTAGTAATTCAGAAACACAAACCTCTATTGGAACATCACATTTGTAGAGACACATGGATGTAACCACATTGTGATTCATCACAGCATGTACAGACTAGTGGGCATTAGGCCTAGGTTAATACATGTTAACTCCTTGGGTTTTTTATATTTTATTGCTTTCTTCTTCTAATAGTCCAAGTTATGTGGCATTGGTATTCATGTCTATCCACAACCTTCTGTCTGGTATGCTTTCTGTCAGCTCTGACACAGATGATCTTCCATGACATGATATCAGACTGTCCAGCAACTTCTCTCTCTGTCTCACTCCGCCTCTTTTTGCCGCCATCTGTCACAGTGTACTCCAGTTTTTCCTCCTCATGACATGACCAAAGAATCTGGAGTCTTTTTCTTATATGGGCAATCAGTTTTCTTCGTGAGTCAGCTTCCCTCAAGATTTTAAAATTATTTTTTTATGTTTTATTGTCAACAGAACCATTGTTCATAGATAAATAAAGTAAGGCGCTCTTTTCCTCACCTTTAGGCATATTGGGCATAGCTATTAGACCTGGCCGCACTCAGTGGGTGATGACAAAAACAGTGGATGACTTCAGTTGAGCTGATAGCAAGAAATGTTAAATATAGCCCATAATGTGACTGGACAGCTCAATGGAGGGAATGGAAAAGACGCACACAAACACAAGCAAACATTTCGACCAAAGTCTTTATCAAACAGAGTACTAAATGCAGCACACATGTTCCTAGAAAACTCAAAGGGCAAGACAACAGAGTTAATAAAAACCAAGTCAAAATCAAACCTGACTAGACAGCTCAATGGAGGGAATGGAAAAGACGCACACAAACTCAAGCAAACATTTCGACCAAAGTCTTTATCAAATAGAAAACTAAATGCAGCATACATGTTCCTAGAAAACTCAAAGGACAAGACAACAGAGCTAATTTAAAATAAAATAAAAACCATGGCATCATGCCACCTTTACTTTACCTGGTACCCTTTTGGGTTTGAGGCTGTGGCAACATGGTCAGTTTTTTTTTTTTTAAAGCCTGGCTCCGCCAGGACCTGAATTAATGGTCTTTAGATCTGCAGATGAGAGGGTAAATGACAGTGACAGCTATGAACAGCTGTCATTAACACTTCAGATTGTATATTTTGGAGATCAATTATTAAATTACTGACCTGCTGACATATAATGTTAATTTTTAATTGGTGTGTGAGTATAAGCATTCCTCTGTTAGTTTTCACAATGTCTCTAAATGTAAACACTACCCACAGTGTGAATCGTTTTCTTTAACTGTAGAAATAGTAAAGGAAAAACTGTTTAATAACTGTTTTTTTTTTTTTTTGGTGGAGCCACAGACTTTTGTTTTGTGTTCAATAGTATAGTGACAGGGAATATTTGTGTTAGGAGAATTTATGAGTACTCCTTTCAGTTCTTGTGCAAATTGCTGTCAGCTCAGAAATGAAAGAGAGGATAATTGCACTGGCGTTTGCTTGCTATTGATTTACTCTGTAGTGAAGATTCATATGACCCCAGCGGAGATAAGTTATGCTGGGGAGGGTATAATTACACTGCAATGCTGGTGGCTTTAGATTCAATATTTTCTCGGTGATTGCCGAGTCCTGATAGCAGAAGTATTATAGTATCGGCCTTATTGATCTTGCAATCCTCTTTGGTGCTCTCACCTGAAGCAGTTTGTGTATAGCTTTATTAACGAGGAAAGGAGATTGTCATTGCATCTTATTGACTCTGCTCCTCGGGTTGTGTCAACAGTTGCCAGCTAAGTAGTTTCTATGAGGCTAGTATTTTTAGCCTGATAATAAAGCAGGGAGAGAGAAATAAGAACTGATATCTTCTAGTTCTGATAAGTATAACCTTTATTTAGAGAATGATTGGGGTACTATTTTTGTATTATAAATTTAGTTTCTTTCTTAAATTTTTTTTTTTTTTATTTATTTATTTTATTTACTAAAAAATAATTATCAGATTGTAATGTACTGATAGGCACTCATATATGCAGAAGAAAGAAGGAAAACACACTAGACAACAGAAAAATCATAAACTATCGGGTGTTTCACTCTGTGCGAAACCCAGTATTTTGTTTGTAATTCAGACACTAATAAAGATATGGCAATGAAATTTGGAGGGGGGCTTACCTCCATTCATGCAAAGTCAGGGGATATTATTATAGGTGCTGGATGTTGATTCTCATATTATTTGATTTACATTCTTCATTCATGGATGGGAGATGCTGTTGCAAATTCGTGGCTGTATCTGCAGTCTTCTTCTTCTTGTTCACCGGCTGTGAATTCCGGCGGTAAGTCACGGTTGTTCGTCCAAAATGGACTTTTGGCTTTTACCTTGACCTGAGTTTTGCGTGTACATCCGTTTTACTGGCTTATTTGTTTGCAGTACTCGTTCCCCGCCTCTCAGGCAGATGTACTCCGACTTCGGAGGAAGTATCTGCAGTCAAGGCCTGGTCATTCTCATTGTACTTGTTGTAGCGGTATTAAATCCATTTCCGGCTTCCCCAAAAATCATGTCGTAAGAGTTGACTAATTAATGGCTTTCATCAGAGTCAGAGTGCAATTGCCTGAGTGACACGGAACCAGCAGTCTACATAAACCTAAGTCAGATCCGTAAAACAGATGTGCATGCAACACTCAGGCTCTGGAACAAGGCTAAAAGTTCAGAGGTGAATGAACAGCCAGAACTTTCCAAAGAAGTTTAAAGCTGTTGAATGAAAAGAAGAAGATCACTTCTCATTTACAAAAAGCTCAGAATTAATTTAATGAGACATTAGTTGGTTGGATTCTATTGTACTTTTTTTCTCAACAGCCACCACCTACCTTACCTAAAGGAAGGTTCTCAGATGAGTTTGTGGATTTCGTAGATAGATGGTAAGTTACGTCTTTGTGTATATATATATATATATTCTTTTTAACTGCAATTATCACAATGTAACTCAAATGAATATTATAAAAAGAGTAATAGTAATCATTATTGTTATCTTTTAAAAACATTACTGATTACATGGTGGAAGAACTCATAAGACAACAGAAGTAGGGGCTTAAAACATTTATGAAAGAGAATTAGAGACATGAAAAATATGGGAGAAGATGCATTAGGTAGCGAAAGCTTTGCATAAGTTGGTTGAGAGCCTATGTTGTATTAGATGGTTAAAGGCAGATGTAGAATGTGTGGTGGAAGTAGAGTGAGTGGGGTGGTTTAGTTGTCTGAGTTTTGGTGGCGGTGTGTACTCACAGGCTTCAATTCCTGGAAGTCTGACATATTTTACTCACATAAAGTGTTATAGTCACAGTTTTCATCTTCTGCAAGTTGTGGCATCATCTTACATACATACAGCAGTCCCTCTAATGTGGTGGTTAGACACTCACCTGCGGATTGGAAGGTCATGGGGTCAGGTCCAGGAGCCAGACTTTTTTTCAAAGGTGACCTTGAGTCCCAGGTCAACCCAGCCTTGAGTGGGTACCGGGTACAAGCCCTGAAAAGTAAAGGCAGTCAGCCTGATGTTGACTACATCACCCACCAAGTGCAGATTGTCTATAAAATATGTCTAGCCCCATATGCCCGGTACCCTAAAGGCGTGGAAAAGGCTCCTTAACTTTGACTTTACTTACACATATACAGTGTTGTAGTCTTCATCTCTTGGATGTTTGACATACTTACACATATGTAGTGTTATAGTCATGATCTTTATCTCCAGGAAGTTTGATATTATCTGACACACATACAGTGTTATAGTCACAGTCTTCATCTCCTAACATCATCTTACACACATACAGTGTTAAAGTCACGATCTTCATCTCCTAACATCATCTTACACACATACAGTGTTATAGTCACAATCTTCATCTCCTGACATCATCTTACACACATGCAGTGTTATAGTCACAATCTTCATCTCCTAACATCATCTTACACACATGCAGTGTTATAGTCACAATCTTCATCTTCTGACATCATCTTACACACATGCAGTGTTATAGTCACAATCTTCATCTTCTGACATCATCTTACACACATGCAGTGTTATAGTCACAACCTTCATCTCCTAACATCATCTTACACACATGCAGTGTTATAGTCAAAATCTTCGTCTCCTGAAATCATCTTACACACATGTAGTGTAATAGTCACAATATTCGTCTCATGACATCATCTTACACACATGCAGTGTTATAGTCACAATCTTCATCTCCTGACATCATCTTACACACATGCAGTGTTATAGTCACAATCTTTATCTCCTGACATCATCTTACACACATGCAACGTTACAGTCACAATCTTCATTACCTGCAAGGTTGACATCTTACATACATGCCGTGTTTTACAAATGTTGGAAATGTCTGTTTCAATTATCTAAGCTCTATTTATCTGTGTCATGGTGAGCAGATATGTGTGCATAGGTAAATATGTTTGAAAAGATGTTTTTCCTAAGTGTGATTCTGAGACTTAACTTTAGAAAGCAATGCCTTGTTAAATTAAAGTACTCTGAACACATTCTAAAATTACCTCCATCTGTGTATGTACGTAAAAATGCATGTATCTCAGTATTTGTCTGTCTGTCTTATGTATTTAAGAATTTGTCGGCCTATCTTATCTGTCTGTCTATCTTATCTGTCTGTCTATCTTAACTTTAATCTGTACACACTACAGCCTTTTTTTGTTTCACATTACAGCTTAAAGAAGAACCCATCTGACAGAGCCGACCTTCAATCTCTTATGGTATAGTATTGCTCGTTAGATACTTTATGTGTATTTATATACTGTGTGTACTAATGATAAATGTAGTCCCATAGCAGATTCAGATTTGGACTATTAAGTTCTAACACATTTACGCCACAACATATGAGGTTGTGTGATCAGGTTCCTTCCTCTTCACTTTTACTTTCCAGACCATTCCCATTACAGTTCTAGAAATTATCTGTTACCCAGTTTTTCAGATGCTGGGTGCGCCCAGGGGCTTTACTGATTGATTGGAAAAATCCTACCATTTGAAGATGAACCTGCACATACTTGTATTAGCGGGTGCACAGCTTAGAAATGCTATCATTACAAGGATTCACATGGCTGTCCTGCCCAAAGAATGCAGTAGGGCAGAGAAATAGTTAGTTAGTCTTTCCTCTTGTGTCGAGTGCAGCACATAGGGCAGAGGTCATGACTCTCCATGCATGGCGGTTCGTTGCAATCTGTTGTAGGTCTTGGATGTTTGAGTGGCCCATGAGCGAGCCTTCCCTGATGATAGTTCTACGTAGGGTTTCCCTTGGTCTTCCACGAGATCTTTTCCCCTGTGGTGTCCAAATGAGGGCTTGGTAAGGAAGTCTTGATTTATCCATTCTAAGGGTGTGGCCGACAAAATTCCAGCGGCGTTTTCGTATAAAATTAGACACATACTTTTGCCTGGATTCTTGCCTTATTTGTGTATTGGTTCAGAAATCTGACCGTTTGAAATTTAGTATTCTTCTAAGGCATTTATTTTCAAAACTGTCTAATTTTGTGTCTAGAGTTTTCGTTGATTTCCAGCTGATTGTGTGTCTGTCTTGCCTTTCCCCTGAGTTGAGCATCGGCCAGATTTCCTAGGCACTTTCTCTGCACCATTATCCTCAGATTGTAATGATGTTTTTGTGCCTCCACACTATTTACTCACACCCAAAGGGCTTGCAGAGAAATGAGAGACCAAATTTATTGGCTTCACATATCCCTTTGTTGAGCACACTAACTAGATACGTAGGTGGTATGCCAAATTCTGACTCTGACCAGAAGTTATATAATGACGTGACACTAGATAACAGACCTATTCAAGAATCATTGTAGAAACACAAAGTGTATTTTGGAAGCTTGGCCAGAAAAATTCACACAGATAACAAAAGTGTGTTTCACCGAATCTTTAATCATAAACAAAAAAGGCAGGAATATTCAACGACAGAAATATAATAAAAACACACCTACAGACAAGTAATCCATGGGGGTTGGGATTAATTCAGTAATTTTTAGTATCATTTGACAACACTTACTCTCCCAATCCAGACCGCCCGTTTTTTCCCAGTACCTGTTTCAGAGTGTGACAAACATGTATTTAGCTGCAGTTCTGGCACGTGCAGGTGTTTGTGAGAATAACTGAGCACATGCGAACACTGAAATTAACCAGTCCTGCAGAATTGTTTTCTGGATGCAGAGGACAAAACATGTCAATTCAAAAATTCTTCCTCTCAGCTCGACAGCAGTCAACCTCTGACCCCATATTTTGCTAACACCTGTTTGAGAATGTCGAAACATATATTTAGCTGCAATTCTGGCATGCGGGGGTGCTAGAGAGAATGACTTGGTGCAGGTATAATTACATGTCACTGAGTCAATATACACATACAGCGACATGTTTTTTTCAGTGATACATCACATATTCAAAACTCTGCATCCTGGGATGTCATTATTACTGCTAACAGTATAATTATAAACCACTGATCTAAGGGTTGATGAGTTAAGGTGATCACATCACTCGGGACATTCCTAAATTCACTCTGTCCCCATCTTCAGCAGCCAGCTAAGAGTTCCACTTATGGTGCATGCCAATTACAGTCTGATTGTATGTCTGTCTTGCCTTTCCCCTGAGTTGAGCATCGGCCAGAGTTCCTTGGCACTTTCTCTGCACCATTATCTTCAGATTGTAATGATGTTTTTGTGCCTCCACACTATTTACTCACACCCAAAGGGCCCTTACAACATCTAGCTTGTCATGCATACATTTACCCCTGAATGATGCAGAGCCAGCCAGTCTGTCTGCCTGTTCATTGTCCAACACACCTGCATACCTGGGGAAAGAATCCGAAGGACGCTAACTGCGCAGGACTTCTGAAGTGATATTTGCCACTCAGCATCCTGCATCCTCCACATTTCTCAGCATACTCTGTGAGTCAGTTACAATCACGATATGTGTGTGCAGTTGGCTTTGAAGCCAGCGAAAGGCAGCAGTGACAGCCTTCACCTCCATTCTCAAACAGACGTTATGGTATCAAATGCCAGGCTTTGTCGCACAAAGCAACTCCCATTTTCTTCTGCTATGGAACCCCTTGCACTTCTTCTGCCTCTGAACACAGAGCCATTTGTATAGATAACTGCATCACCTGAGTGAGAAATGTCATGTCAGTTGTTGAAGTTCTGATTCTGCAGCTCCGGTTGGTTAGTCCTTCCCTGGCCCATTGTGATTAGATCCCAAACAAAGCTCGGGTGCTTTGGGCCACTCCTCTGCCCTGCCAAATGTTATCAAGCCTGCAGTCTTAATGTGTCTTCAGCTTGCACTTTCCAAGACCTTCCTCTCTCGGTCTGTGACCATTTGCTCTATCTAGGGCTTCATGCAGGAGGTGTATCTTGTCTGCACTTACTCTGAGATATGACTGCTTGCAGCACTTTTAGCCTATCTGTAATAGTTTATATCGCATACATATTACTGGGATAGCCCTTGTACATCCTGGAATTACCCTTATGGTTTCTTCTGTATGCTTTCATGTTTCATTAGCTGTCTCTTTCTTCATCTTCTTCGCGTTCACCAGCTGTAGACTCTGCCGGAAAGTTCTGGTTGCTCGTCCACTACTGAACTGCAGTCCTGCTCCAGAACCTGAGTGTTACGTGTGCATCAGTTTTACAGATCTCAATCTCTTGAATACAGACTGTTGGTTCCTTGCCTCTCCAGCAGATGCACTCCGACTTCAAAGGAAGCTTCCCAATTAGTCGACTCTTACGACATGCTTTTGGGGAGGCAGTGGGTCTATTCTTGTTTTCCCCACAATGGGGCCTCGGAACCCACACGGGGGGGGGGGGGGGGGGGGGGGGTCTCTCTGATATGGTAAGCATTTTAAGTCCATAATCTGTCACCAAGATATTCAAGTACTGCATTACTGTAAACAGCATTCTTTGTTCTTCTTGATCCCTGAAGGATTAGCTTCTATTGAAAGTGATACCTAGGTCCCTTTTTGTTTTCTTATTTGGTGTTTCTGTTGTCTGTTGTCAGACTTAGGACATCAGCTCTAACAATTTTATTGTCTGGAGAGCACCAGAAAGCAGCCGCCTTTCCTGGGTTGATGACACCATTCGTCTGTGCACACCAGTCACCTTGTCTACAGTTGCCTGTAGCTCTTGAGCTATCTGTTGCTTAACGCTACCCTCCCTGAACATAGTTTCAGAATTCTAACATTTTTGGTCAATTCATCTGCAAATCAGCAGTAGATTACTCTGTATTGATTTCAACAATCAAAGCTTCTTATTTTTTTTAAAGCATTCATCAACTATAAACTCTGGTGAAAAGGTCTTGTTGTTCCACTTCTGAACTTTGTTTTTTTTTCTCAGATCTTGATTTTTGTGTGTACATCTGTTTTACAGATTTGATGTATTTGTAAGCAGACTCTTGGTTCCTTGCCTGTCTGGCAGATGCACTTTGACTTCTAAGCAAACACCCTTAATTAATTAACTTTTTCTACATGCTATGGGGGGGGGGGAGTGGGGCTTCTTTTTCCCCCCACTGAACGGAGCCCTGGAACCTTAGGTTGAATTCAATAGAGCAAGTGGTAGACAACGATACAAATTAAAGGCAAACATCAAGTGATGGAAAAAGAGCAGTGGTGGAGAGAGTACAACTAGGACAGAATACAGGATGTTGGAAATTCATGGCAGCCAGCCTTCATAGCGGAGATAGCATCTGATTGATTAAAATCTATAAATGTGCGTTGGGTACATCTTTTGAGTGAAATGGAGCACATGTAGGCATGTCCAGGTGCTGTAACATCAACCTTGGCCTGAGGTATTGTGGGGCACCCACTCCCCCCACAGAAACACTTTTGAATGGGCTGTCACCCTCTTTGCATAGACAATTTGCAAGGCGGTTAACCCCCCCCCCCCCCAACGTTCATGTATTGAAGTTGTTTTTAACAATTCGTTGATACATTTCATAATTATGTCAGATAAATTATTATTATTATTATAAACTGCATTTATCATTCAGTGCATAATAAATAGTTAAGTAAGTAAAGATCCCTTTTCACGCCTTGTATTGGGTATATGGGAAGAGCGCCCATTTTTTTACAGACCATCTGCACTAGGTGGGTAATGTGGTCAGCATTATGTCGGCCATCTTTACTTCCCCAGGACACCCATTCTGGTACCCACTTTAGACCTGCAACGCCCCATACCATGATAAAAATCCACGCAGCCAGCAGTGGGTTTCCATCGCAGTACATTGGAATCATGAGTGAGACTCGCAACACCTAAGCCGTGAATGCCACGCATAATAATAATAATAATAATAATTTTTTTTTTGCACTTCAGCTTTGCTTATTCCCCTTGAGCGACCCACCCCTCGAAAATTTGTAAGTGGGCTGATGCCACCCCCTCCCACCACCAGTGTTTTTTCTGTGCTCTGGTTGACATCCATAGTGTATGTCAGTTTCTGATTGTACTTCAAAGTTTTGTAACCAGTTTGAGGCAGATAACATAGTGAATATTTGTTTGTTTTTCCCCAGAATCACATGTTTGTGAAAAAGTATGAAAATTCAGACATCTCCATCGGTCAGTGGGTCTGCAAGGTCGTGGGCATTAAACCAAGGTGAAACTTCAGGGAATCGGAGATCTACGAGAGACATTTTATGAGCTTCTCTCGAGTGCAGAACTTGGACAAAATCAATAATTGTTTGTGAGTGTGTGCATGAAAGACTATATATATAGTCTATATATATATAGTGTGTGTGTGATGAAGAATTGTTATACAAAATGCATGTATCAACACTTTGCTGTAAGTTATTATTTCACCATGCTACTGAAGTCTGTTGTTCATCTTGTTGATGTTGATACTATGTGAATTTGTGGGTATTTCCATTTATTTGTATTGATAACAATAACACTGTTGTTAATGTTGCACAGCAAAGTGTACAGCTAATGTAATTAAGTTCACTTTTAAAGAAATCATTTGGTCCTTCATCATTAGGTTGCTAGATCAGAATTATAGACATGGTGCATGTTTAATTGTGGTCCATACCAGTTGTAGAGGCAATTAACAGGAAAAAAAAAAAAAGCTCCACCATTGAAATGCATTAATTATAGCAACTTAGCTAAGCCACCAGGAAAGGGATGCAGTAATTATAGAAACTTGAACAAACATGAAAAAGTAAATTGCTACAGTTACTGAAACTTTAATAAACACAGTGTAACATAACCTTTGACCCGTTAGGGTCCTGGAGCTGTATCGATGGAAGTAGTACTCTCAAAAGGTAGTAAAAGAGCAAAATTATCTTAGCATTGAAGGTCAGTATTTACAAATCATTGGTATTGACCAACACTCAGACTTTAATCAACCTGAAGAAATGGATGTCTTCTGTTGTAGTAGCTTACAGGGAACTCTAAAAATGGAATGCTGAAATATATAAACCTTCATGTCTCCAGATATTGAATGTACAAGAAACTTATTTAAAACTACAGGAATAGAAAGTAGCAGTTATATAAACCTTCATGTCTCCAGATATTGAAAGTACAAAAAACTTATATAAAACTACAGAAATTGAATGTAGCAGTTATATAAACCTTCATGTCTCCAGTTATTGAATGTACAAAAAACTTATATAAAACTACAGAAATGGAATGTAGCAGTTATATAAACCTTCATGTCTCCAGATATTGAATGTACAAAAAACTTATATAAAACTAAAGAAATGGAATGTAGCAGTTATATAAACCTTCATGTCTCCAGATATTGAATGTACAAAAAACTTATATAAAACTAAAGAAATGGAATGTAGCAGTTATATAAACCTTCATGTCTCCAGATATTGAATGTACAAAAAACTTATATAAAACTAAAGAAATGGAATGTAGCAGTTATATATACCTTCATATCTCCAGATATTGAATGTACAAGAAACTTATATAAAACTACAGAAATTGGAATGCAGCAATTATAGGAGTGTATATCAATTTCGAGAAGTGGACTACATCAGTTAGTCTTAGATTTCTGTGTTCGCCCTTAAAAAGGCAATTGACGTGTTGTGTTGTTTACAGTGAGGCTGCAGTATCTGCACCTGGCTGCCCAACACCTAATTAATTTTCTATTGTATGTTTTTAAGGAGGCAGTGAGTCCATTTCCTCCCCCTTTCCCCACAAAATAGGGCCCCAAAACTTGTGCGGGGAGAACAGCAATTATTGAAACTTAAATGAGCCTCCTGATATGAAACAGGTCACCGGAAATGGAACTTAAGGATCATGATGAAGCAGTTTGGACTCTGAACATTGGAGATCAAAGGAACTGTGTGCACTTGAGATGTTAATTCTTTGTTTTAATTCAAAAGTGACAGTTGATGGTAAAAATCCCTTCTCTGGAGGTTCAACATATCATTAGAATTTTTGACAATGATAGTAAATATTGTAGATTTACAGAGGTGTATGTGCAGGAATCGGGCATTTTGTAATAAAATAGATTAAAAATAACTCAGTGATTAACAACACAACAGACACTGTTCTTTGGTTTAAAATGGCCTAAGTGATCCTTGAAGTGACTAAAGAAACATAAAATTGATTAGTATTTCATGTCCATTGTGTGGATGTGTTCCATGGGTATCTGCCTGGTAGGAGGACAACATAAGTTTTTAGAATCTGTATACTTTCTAAGAGACTGAGCGTTTGTATGTCCAAAGTGTTTTTTTTTCCATCTTATTTCTGCTGATGATTTTTTTATAACCTTCTTCTCTTTTTAAATGTAGAAGAAAAACTATATATATATATATATGTTAAGGCTGTAAAATTAACAGTAATATTACTGCAGTTACAATCCTGTGATATAGACAGCAAATATGACTGCATATAGTCTGGATCTTCTGCCAGTTTGAATCACTTAACTCTGCAGGGGGGAAAGATAGCCTCTGGAGCTGTAACAGTGAAAATTTTGCATTCTTGTTGGAAGTCTTTATTGTCTTGTACACAGTATTGTTTGTTTTAAATGTTATCTACTGCCTCCAGATGACGCTGTTATAGAGCATTGTTGCTGGATTTTGGGGAGGCAGTGGGTCTATTCTTGTTTTCCCCACAATGGGGCCTCGGAACCCACACGGGGGGGGGGGGGGGGGGCGTCTCTCTGATATGGTAAGAAGCATTTTAAGTCCATAATCTGTCACCAAGATATTCAAGTACTGCATTACTGTAAACAGCATTCTTTGTTCTTCTTGATCCCTGAAGGATTAGCTTCTATTGAAAGTGATACCTAGGTCCCTTTTTGTTTTCTTATTTGGTGTTTCTGTTGTCTGTTGTCAGACTTAGGACATCAGCTCTAACAATTTTATTGTCTGGAGAGCACCAGAAAGCAGCCGCCTTTCCTGGGTTGATGACACCATTCGTCTGTGCACACCAGTCACCTTGTCTACAGTTGCCTGTAGCTCTTGAGCTATCTGTTGCTTAACGCTACCCTCCCTGAACATAGTTTCAGAATTCTAACATTTTTGGTCAATTCATCTGCAAATCAGCAGTAGATTACTCTGTATTGATTTCAACAATCAAAGCTTCTTATTTTTTTTAAAGCATTCATCATAGTCCATAACAGTAATATTACTGCAGTTACAATCCTGTGATATAGACAGCAAATATGACTGCATATAGTCTGGATCTTCTGCCAGTTTGAATCACTTAACTCTGCAGGGGGGAAAGATAGCCTCTGGAGCTGTAACAGTGAAAATTTTGCATTCTTGTTGGAAGTCTTTATTGTCTTGTACACAGTATTGTTTGTTTTAAATGTTATCTACTGCCTCCAGATGACGCTGTTATAGAGCATTGTTGCTGGATTTTTTATTTTTTTTTATCCAAAAGGCTCCGAAACCTCTTTCCAGTGTGAAGAACCTCAGTACATAAAGAAGTGCTCTAAAACTATCCAGTTTAAACAGCGTTTCAGATTATCTTTTCTCTACTGTAACTTATGAAGATACTGCCACACTCATTTATGCCAGGCCAAGCATCAAGATCTAATATATTTCTCATGAATCATTTCCTGACTGCCAATTGTACCTGTTCGTGTTAATCTTATCTCTTTATCCCTGGGTTCTCTCTAAGTAAAGGACCCTTTTCATGCCAGTGACATAATGGGCATATGTTGATAGACTTGTATTTTTGGGGCCTCTCTACAAATGGATATGTTTGTTTTTTTAGTAACCAGATTTCTCTTTACCAGTATTTAGGAGATACTGCTGCTAAATTAATGTTGTTGCCAAAAAGTAGCACATATTTGATTGCCACATTTGTGGCTGACATGACTCTTGTTGTTCAAAAATATGTATTTTAACACACAGGTTTGACTGTTATATCATTCTGATACCTCATTCTGCTTGAATGTTACAGTGTAGCAGGGCTATTCAACTGCCAGCCTGGGGGCCCTTATCTACCCCACAGGGGGGGCTAGCAAGTGGCCTGCAAATAATTGCCAATTGTATTGTACTAATTATCTTTCTGTGTTGGGGTGCAGGTCTCTGGTCTGGGCGTCCCGTTTTCAAAATGTTGTCCCTTGAGTAAAGTTAGTTGAATAGCCTTGCAGTATAGAAAGCTTACTCATAATCATGTTTGTTTGTTTTGTTCAGTGATATTGTAATTTCATATTTGTTGACTTCAAAGTGATAATGCTAATTTTAAGGCTGTTACTGTGGATGCAACTTTCTGTTGAGGTGATAATTGACATGCAATCAGACTTGCTTGTATGTGAATGTGGTATTATGTGCAGGTAATGTTTATATTCAGGCAGTATATTTTGTGCAGAAAATGGCAGTTTAATTTTTTGAAACAAGAAATTATCGATTTGTGTTTTGAAAAATACGAACCATGGCTGTTAATGTCTTGGATTAAGGAATCTAAACTGTGATGCTCATTAGTTTTGTCAGTTTTTTTATGTTTTCAAGAAGAAGAAAAAGTAATCTAAATATTTGGGATTTTTTTTCATAAGAAATGAATTTTTGTAAACAAAATAATATGTACATTGTTTTTTTTTTATTGCTACTGTTATTATTTGTTACTTAAATCATTTTACATTTACAGTGCAAAGATAATCATTAGTCTGCTGCTTTTTCTTGACGTATTGTTCTGTGGTTGGTTGGTAAATTCTTTGGAGGATAGTTTTAGTTCTTAAGATAACTGCTTTGAGTTTCAGGCCGTTTGAGTTCCAAAAAAAAGCTAACATTTGGCAAGGTTGGTTGAGACTTTGGTGTCTACCTAATAGCAGAGTACAACCTTCAAGGCAACTGTTTTATAAAACTTTTTCCTTGCTGCAAGCTCAGCTGTCAATATAATGTATTTTGTTTCTCTCTCTCTCTCTCTTACCCTTAAAAAGGGCAGTTGGCCCATCGTGCTGTGTTTTACAGCTAAGCTACAATATCTGCACACCTTATTCCAACACATCAAGTTTCAGGAGGCTCTTACTTAGTCACATTTGATGACTTGCTTGTTAGAGGGCAGTAGGTCTGTTCTTTTGTTCCCAAAATAGGGCCTGATTAACCAACCACACAGGAAGATGGCACTCTGTTTGTATGACAAGGCTTATTTTGACATAACCAGATCATGAATCAGCAGTCTTCTTCACGTTCACTTTACC